TTGTGGCGGACAGCGTCAGGTACAGCCTATGACTTCATTGGTATGAGCTCAGAATACGTCGGTTGAACGGCTGCCGGATCAACTAGACAGTTCGAAACACACCTGGAGCGACGACTCTTGGAGGAATCGGATCCGTTGCTAGCCATATAGGGAACGCAAAGGTAGTCGATGGATCAAACTCGAACTATATTGAATACGGATAAGTCTAGACTAGGGAAATGAAATGATAAGACCAATAGTCTAGTTCACTTGACAACAATGACTGCCATGCACGCATGCTCACGTTCCTAACTGGAACAAGGTGACGCGCTTGTCTACGAATAGACAGTCAGGGAAAATCAGGAGCCCTCATCATCGACTCCTACAACAGACAGTCCCTTGAACTTCTGGTACGTGGACAGACTGTGGAATCAGCAGTGACGCCGAACTGGCGTCATGATGAGCGCAATATGAAACTCGAAGAATAGCGAGTGACCGCAACTATCCACTAACATCCAGAGGTGTTCCAAGAGTCCCATCTCCAACACCTGAAATGCTCGTCATGATGCTAACCCACGATGCAGCAGCACTGTTTTCCTCTTCAGAACCATCGTGAGCTTCCCAGGTGAGTACCACGTATGTGACGTAGTCGACGATACCGCTCAAGCTCTCAAAGACCTCATTTGCCATCGGCCACATCAGTATCGTACTCGACAGGGCTGTAAGCGAGCTCAGCTGTCAAATCAACGTTGCAATTGACTCCTCGAGAAAATCGGATATAACATTCAGGCATACGATGATGGATACTGACCGGATGAGCGAGCCCACAAAACTTCAATCGATAATATTGTGTTTTCCATTATCGATGGGAGCTAGAGAGGTGACTGGAGAAAAACTATACAGAGATTCTCCTGTTGTAGGAAACAAAAAGAAAACTACACTTTTATATATCATGGCCACTACGACCAAGGCCAATCAACGCATTAATGAGAACAACAATATGAAAAATTAACTACCCAACACCTCGTGATTGTAGAAAGAACTAGGTTAATGAAACTATCTAGCATTCCTTTAGAGCTGTCAAAGAGACAAAGGAACGAACAGACGGGAATCTATCATCTGTAGATTAATTATCAGACATGAGACAACTACAGTTTTACAAAAAAATGATACCCATAGCTGGCAACGTCCACTAAACCCGCGTCATACAGCAATCGCAGGGTTACCAGCATTCACGTGTTGAGGAGTGCCCAGGAAGGCACTCGAATCAGCAGGAGTATTAGCATTGGTTGGAGCGATGATAACAACATCGCGAGACTTACTGTTGTCTTTCCTCTTCAACAACACACAGTTAGCGATGAGTAAAAGCAAGAGAACTCCGGCCACAACCCATAGAGCAATCATAACACCCAGAGTCCAGTCGTTGACATCATCGATGACAGCAGTATTACTAGCACACCAGGCAGTAGCTGCCGATATGCTCAGACCGATACCATCAGCTCCGAGACTAAGAATCCGGCAAGCTTCGAAAGATGGAGCTGACACACGAGGAGCACCATCGTCAATCCAGTCGTTCATCCAGTCCTCGATAGTGCCGTCATCACAACTGACTTCACCACATTCTATTGTTGCCAAACTCGTTATTTCACAACTAACGTCACATTTCTTATCCGTCCACAGATCGCCATAAGCTTGTCGAATGTGCTCGTAAACCTCGTAAGTGTTCGAATCGTTGTCCAAGACGTTGAGTTCAGCAGGGCTCTTGTCCGACAGGTCGTTGGTATAGGAAAGGTAAACCGAAGCAGCAATAGCAGCAGCGACGATGATGGCCAGCATGATGCCGGGTAATACAGCATATAGTGCAAGTAGCCACTTCTGGCCCAACTTAGTGCCAATGCACCCCATGATGCCACCGATGATGAGAACAATACCACCAGCAAGTGTCAGCCAGACCCACCATTCATCGACGAAACCTTCGAAATTAGAAGCCAGCAGATAGATGGAAACCGCGAGGATGCCGGCACCCATGAGGAATATGATAGTGTCCATCATGTAGTGGACGAGCTTCGAAAAGACGGTACAGCAACCCATTAGGAGCTTTGAGTAAACTGATGCATGACGACCAATCGTAATTATTCGTCAACACGAACAAATGCAGCTATGAAACTAGCATGTCTAGTCTAGACTATTTGATAGAGATGTACGCTCGCCTATACAGCACAGCTGATTAGAAGTAGCAAATCCGAGTCAACTCAAGAGAGGAATTCAGAGGACGAATCGCGCGGCTTTGAATGGCAAAGCCGCGAGAGAAACTGTAGTAATTAAGAGTGAGATCATCGTTTCCTCCTACTACTGATAAGAATACAGTTGGCTATTAAAACAATGACAAGAAAAACCGAGATGACCCAGAAAACTATCATGAACCCCAGGGTCCAATCGTTGGCATCACTGATGACTGCTGTATTGCTGGCACACCAACCAGTTGCCGCCGACTCGCTACCTTCAATACCATCAGCGTCGATGGACAGCACGAGACAGCGTCCAAACGACGCGCCCGAAATACCAGACGAGGCTTCCTCAATCCAGTCCTCCATCCAGCCCTCGACAGTGCCGTCATCACAGGTAACTTCACCGCACTCGACAAAGGCAAGACTGTTGACAGTACACGACACATCACAGTTCTGGTCATTCCATAGCGTACCATAAACTTCCCGAATTCCATCATATACCTCGTAGGTGTGCGAGTCGGTATCGAGTGAGTTGAGCTCACTAGCACTTTTATCAGCAAGGCGGTCAGTGTACGAGTAGTTGACCGAGGAACCAATCGCAGCAATGATAAATAAGATGAGCACAAGAGCAGGAATGATACTGTAGACCCACAAAACCCATTTCGTCTTCAGACTAGCACCGACGCAACCGATGATAGCAGCAATCATAAGTAGAGCCCCAGCAAAGACAGCAATCCATACCCACCATTTCTCGACGAAACCCTCGTAGTTAGAGGCTAGTAGATAGATGCTGAAGGCGAGGACGAGAGCACCAACAACGAAGATTGTGAGGTCGAAAAGGTAGTGAACGAACTTCGACACTCCGGTACAAAAGCCCATTATATGTAGTCTCACAAAGTATATCAACCTGATCAAACACAGTAAACTGAACTTCAAAGGAACCTCGAAAAAGGAAGTCGAAAAGAAAACTTTCAACACTACTTGTCTCTTGAAACGAGTCCCAGTATATATCACTCTTTAAACACAGCGAGTGCTTCAGAAATTTGTATCGATTAAGTTGGTTTTTCTATCACACTTCCGACTGAGACACTTTTTACGAGATAAAAAGCTGCAGCTAAACCAGTGAGAAGACCCCTAATCGGTCACTAGACTCACGACCACTAGTTGATAAACGCTCTGATTACCACACAAACATCAGTTAACAAGGAAGAGCAAGAACAAGACACAACACTAACGTCATGTTCGACACTACCACAGCACAGGATATGAAGCACTGCTACGTGCTTCAACGGGAATAGCACAATTCTACCAAGAGTACACAAGATCTCCAGCACGCGCATATGCTCCGTAGTAAACCAACATAAGAGGTTGCTCACTCGAGGCAAATTACGATTTGTGGACAAGAGACGAGACGGTTTCGATATCACATACGATAGTTATAGATTCGCACGACGCCTCACAATGTTGCAAAACCACCAATATCGACCTGACCTGATCTACCCTTCGATACATAAGTTCACCGTATTAGTCATCACATGTCTTATCTATCAATTTACACATGAACCAAACAGTGGGTGAGCAGAAACGTGGATCATCTGAAACGTCTACGGTGAATTAAACCTAAATCTCAACTAGAAAAAGACTAAGCTAGTCTCTGCATATAGTCAATCAAATACTGAGCCAAAGTAAATGAGAACGTGAGCTTTGGACCAACCGATAGCACCTTCGGTATCTAAATGGAATGTTATGGTAGGATACAAGACAAGCTCGAACGTTACGCTTCCTTTGAAGAAAGCGCCAACGCCTTCCTTAGCGGTAATATCAGCGATGATGCGGAATGCTGAGCAACCCGCGTAGTTGCCCGACTGAAGTCTGGTTTTGACCACGTCCAGAGGGCAAGCGACTAGGATGCTGGCTACAGAGCCAGCAGTACCTGAGGGAGCGTGCCTCTTGGACACATGTAAACTCTGATAAGGATCTTACTCGATAACGCAAAGTGAACGAAGCCAGGTTTGCCATTACGAGCATCAGTAAGGCTGTGCTTAACCGCGTAATTAACACCAAAAAGCATGAACGAGCCAGCTATGTTCCCTAAAGATGACCGATGAGATCGACAGACTTGCTCAGGAACCCACTTGCTGCGGTCACCCCTGCGCCGGCATAAAGCGACGAGAGACCTTCACGTTGGCAAACTTGGGCGAAGTTGAGCTTGCGATACTCAGGGTTAGTCTGGTACTTGATCTTCAATACCTGACAAACGGACGTATGAAGACGATACCGAGAAGGGGTTCACGTCTAGAGGGAGAAGGACAACTTCGCCAGCTCCTATCAGAGACCCACTGAGGCCGTTGCCTAAGATAAGTGAAACTAACAACAATGCCAGGAGATTTGCCCTTACACCAAAACTGCTGAGTTGGGCTCCTGTCGGATGGGAAAACGTACTTGTCCAGGCCTTCTTTCACCACAGGTTGGCCACCAAACTTGTAAACTCGTTGAGAGATCTTGTACAGGGCGCCGTAACCGAAACCGGGGAACAGTGCAGCCCATTTGCCGACGAAGCCTCGAACGCCGCCGATCGCAGCCGTGCCGGATTCTCGTTGGAAAACAACCTGAGCAGAAGAACTAATCAAGAAGCAATCGAGATGGTAACGATGAAAGGTAGAACACAGACATCGACCGGACATATTTGGTATCTTCGAGGGAGGGAATCTTTGCGTTTCATCAAGGTCAATCTTGAGACGCTCGAGATCTCACCGTTTGCCAGTTGGTCATGTTCAGAGCCACACTCGAATTCATCAGCCGCTTAGCCAGAGTGTCCACCGGATAAAAGATGCAAAGCTCGGCCCTGAAGGGTCTTGTACAGCACGAGGATACGCAAGTTGAGAACCCACATCCCAGCCACGCCGGCCCCGGTCACTCTGGCGAAGGTCTTGTTGCCTGACTGAGTCTCATAGTGTTGAGGAGCCATAGCCGACGGCTGTGATGTCGAAGACGATAGAGAAAAACTGAAAATTCAACGAATTGGATCACCACAATGTGAAGATGAGCAAATCAACTTGTTAGTGTGCTGCAAAGGGAAAAATGACTGGTGTGGGGCTCGAACCCCCGACCTCCGATCCCGTCACGCGCCACGAAACTTCAGTCTTCAACATCTTCCTGATGCCTCCAATGATCGCTTTCATTGTGGCCGTCCTCCTCTATCCTGTCCTCAGTGTCACCCCTTCCACGGTGACCTGGATAGGCCTCCTCCCTGAAGAGAACGCTACCACTTATGTCAATGCCATGCCTATCGGTAACGGTGCTTTAGCTGCTAATGTAATCGTTGACAATAAGAATGCTTCTAACCCTATCATAGCGCTGCTGATATCGGATCAGAGATCCTGGAATGAGGCGGGGGAGTTCATCAAAGTTGGAAAGGTCACTCTAGAGCTCACCCCCAACCCGTGGGTGACGGCCGACACTACCTCGATTAAGCAGGTGGGGTCAGACTTGACTAATATCTTCAGCGTCGTCACTTGTTCCGCAGGTTCTCAATACCTCTACAGGAAGTGTTATTCTTGAAGTCGGCCCTTCCCCACCGACGAGGGTCGAAGCCTACGTTGATGCCCTCAAGGATGTCTTAGTGGTGAACATCTCCTCCCCAACACCGATTGATGTCTCGGTTGTCGCCGAGCTGCTACGCCCTAAGCCCTTCTCTAGGCAACCCTTGTATCACTGCCGACCCTACAACGTCAGTGCCGACTTCTATCTCAACGACTCTGGAGGAGTCATCGGCTGGGCCCACGCCAACGTTCGCAGCGATTACACCACTAGCATTCTGGAAGCTCTCAACCTCGAGTCCCTCAAAGGGTCTATTACCGATCGTATCGCCAACAGATCTACTGCGGCTACATGGCGCTTTGGAACGTCTATGATTGCGACCCTGTCTGTGGGAGAGCTGAAGACCTCAGAGCCAAGCCGGGACTTCTCCATGGTCATCGGTGTCGCCACCTCCGAGCAAGGTTTGGACCCTGCCGTTGCTGAGTCGAAGAGGCTCATCGCGGAATACAACAGCATGACTGCTATCGAGAAGCACATGCAGTGGTGGGCACAGTTCTGGAACCGTAGCTGGATCGAAGTCACCGGCCCTAGGGCTGGCGAGGTCAACAGTAAAAGTGCCCTCCATCGCTACCTACAGGGTATTCAATCACGAGAGCCGATCCCTATCAAATTCAATGGAATGCTCTTCACGGCTCAGAGGGAGGAAGTGGACTACAACAAGTGGGGAGGGCTCAACTGGTGGCAAAATGCTCGAATGCCCTATTATAACATGTTCGCCAGTGGGGATGCTGACATGGTCGATGCGACCTTCCTGCAGGCCTTCCTCAGTACGTTGAAGTACGCTGAGATGAAGACCAAGGTGTACTACCCGGACATGAGCGGTGACGCTGCATACTGGGACGAGTACAGTCACCCTTTGATCGGCAGTACGCATCCTATGAGCTATGGTTGCGGTCGCGAGGGCAGGGCATGGGGCATGCCAGTTTGGTACTCGGTGGATCCGCCCAATCACTATAATCTTCAGGGAGGTCTTGACCTCAGCTTGCTGGCTTTGGACCATTATTCGTGGACACGAGATGCCACTGTATTGGCTAGAAATCTCCCTATGGTCGACGCGGTGGTGAACTTTTTTGCTCAGTGGAGAACTGGACGTAATGACAACGGTAAGATGATGATCTTCCCTGGGCAAGCTCTCGAGACGTGGGTGTGTCTGGGGTACCAGTACATGCAACCTGGACTCAACTGTACACTCAACGATATGCCCACTGTGGCTGGCTTACACGCTGTACTGGCTCGACTAGAAGCCTTGCCGACCGAGCTCACTACTGCTGAGCAACGACAAAGGTGGGCGGCGCTGAAGGCAGTGGTGCCACCACTACCATTGATTGATGCTGAAGTAGGAGGAGGCAAGAAGTTGGCCCCATGTGAGGCGTGTGGCTTGGGACCAGAAAACTTCGAAAATGCTGAGCTATATGCGGTCCATCCTTATAGGCTGGTCACGGCGAAGGATGTTGGGGAGAATCTTGAGGTTGCCCGTGCTGCTTATAGAGAGAAAAGATTCACCACTGATGATGGATGGAATCAGAATGTGATGGATGCGGCCTTGCTGGGACTGGCAATAGACGCTCAGGAGTTGCTGATCGAAAGAGCTGCTAAGCCCGCACCAGAGGGTTATCGCTTCACAGCGTTTGGACGACAAATGCAAGATTGGCATCCCTCCTTAGACCATTATTCGGTCATGAGGAACGGCCTGATCTACGCCGTATTGCAGCCGCTGGACGATGCGGATGATGGAATGCTGCTCTTTCCGGCGTGGCCTTGTGATTGGGATGTGGACTTGAAGCTATGGGGACCAAGACAGACTCTTGTACAGGCTAAGATGGTCAATGGTGTTGTCACGGAGTTCCATGTGGAGCCTCTGAGCCGTAACGACTCCGTGAGAATACTACAATGTCAAGTACGATCGCAGTCAACTTCTACCCCTTCCCCCACTACTCCTTCTACTACCCCAACAGGAGGATCGGTAACAGGTTGGTCCCTGCAGCTTGCGGCTATCATTATATGTTCTATTTCGTCCTATATATGGAGTTCCACTTGAGCCTGTCAACCTATGAAGGGCGTTCATTCTTATGTTAGTTTTTTGACCGATTCTCGCGAGTCTGTTTCACGGCGATCAGTGATGTAGGTAGTTGTGGGGACCTGGGGGGTATTTTTTGAAAGTTCCATAGTAGTTGTTATCACCACGCTACTGTGCTGGTAGTGATGTCCGCGTCGGTGGGAGCTGAAAATCAAACTAATGGTAATACAAACAGGCTCATGCCGTCCTGTCTTATAGTGTGCTGTAGTTATCCATAGTTTTCTGGGAGCGTTAGCGGAATCGGCGACAGCCTCGATCAAGGGCGAAGACCCGACATCATCAGCTGACCAAGCGATGGCTCTGTAGGAAAAAGGCATGCGTAGTAGTGTGATGTCGCTGCCAGGATGGAGTCGTTGAATAATGCTACGGTGAAGCCTCAGTGGGCTAGCGTGTTATTCCCGGTATTGGTGGATTTATTACAGGGCTTAAGGAAGGAGATGGACGGCCCTAAGAGGGTAGTGGTTCCTCTACGGCCTGTGAGTGTATTTTTACGTCGATGTAGGTGCTGCTCTTGAGGTCCCATCCGGTGTGGGGTGGCGTCATCGACTTCGTATTTAATACAGCGGTGATGAGTGGTACTCCTAATGAGCTGCTCTCGGCTACTGTGGCTCATGGTAGAGCTACGAAGAAAGGAACAGTGAACACCACTAGAGCTGCTCTGGATGCTGGTACTAAGTTTGGAATTCCCAAGGGTGTGGTTATGATAATATGAGGCGTTCTGACTAACGGTGTGAAGTCACATCAGTCAAGCTCAACTGGGTAGAGAAGTTGGCAGGAATAAAACTCGACGTGAATCGGTCGTTTCTGAGGAACGTACTGGGGTGGCAGAGTATTGAAACTCAATGGGTTTATCGCTTCCTCTCTGAACTGTGCTTTTCTTCAGGTGTGGAACTCCTGTTGACATTCTCTGCATCAGCGATCCTCCGAGTTGCACCGCTGAAGATAGTGGCATCAGGAACAGCTGAAGATCCTGCAGCCCGGCTATGGCGACTCTTGGGAGCGAAAGACACCAGTGAATTCGCTGTTGAGACCCGACTGTGGCTCCTACCGCTGATAAGAAGCACTGGAGGCTGCGGTTGTCAGCTATCTGACTGGGTCGAGATGATGTTGCCGGCTGCTGTGTTTGTCAACGGCGTGGCGAAAAGCAGTAAGGGGCCTCTTTTCCATATTGTACGTTCGAAAATCTCCGACGAGTAGCATTGGGAAAACAGCTCGTGTCGCGAATTGATCAGCCGTGAAGGGAAAAATGGAGGGGAAAATTGGTGTATGAATATAATAGGTATTGGTTTTGTGTTGGAGGGTGGAAAGTGTTTGTTGTTCAGATGAGTCCGTGGACCCGACCCGAGCTCGAAAGCTTTTTACTGTAGTTGAGCAGCTCTGGGAGGTCCTGCCTTCGATGATAGATGGATGTGATACTCTTGAATGGTTTTACACTTTTTCTATCAGAACTATCGCCGTGTGCCAGGTGTTGATCTGCCTCAAGCTCTGACAATGCAGAAGAGCCTCCTCGGCAAGACCATGTTGGGAGCAGCAACGACTCGTAATGAGCGGACTCCAGAGGTGCTACTTGGGGCTACGACGCAGCCGGTGCAAGTGCATTCCTTTCTCACCAGGTGCAAGAGTCGGCCTTGAAGGCTATGAGGGTCCTTGGTGAGGAGTCTTCTCGACAATGGCCGTCCGGTCAGAATGTCCCGAAGGAGGTCTCGGCGGTTGGGGATAGATTCATCAACCCATTATGTAAGATATTCATCGCGGTGCGGGATGGGAGGGTGCGGTGTAGGCTCGATGTATATGGCAGAGTCGAGCGTGAAGTTGAGAGATCTCATTGTGGAGGCAGTGACCGCCGTTGCGAAGAGGTGAGATTTAGTTTGATTGGTGTAGTGGATAAGTTGCATGTGTGGCTAGCGGGAGGTCGTTGGATCGATTCTTGCTGTCTGCATTTTAGCTGCTGTTCTCTTCAAGTCCTCCAAACAGTCTTCACCAACGTGACCAAGCAGCTTGTACAGGAGAGTCAGAAGGACTCCACTAACGTACCATTCAGCTGTCCATCATCCCTTAGCATCCTTCCTTGCAGGTAGTGTCAGACCTCAGTGAGCTCTGTCTGGCCCTTCTACCCGCCGTCCCCGCCTCGGGCCGGCAGCTGGTGGTAGGCAAGGTGTTCACTCCTCTCATGAAGTAGGTAGCCTCTTAATATGGTCTTTGCTATTCTCATGGTGTTAGGAACTCCTCAGCTCCGGCGAGGCTCCAAAAGGCTGCTTATCGAGCTATTAGAATTGCCGTTGAAGCCGGGGACTCCTCGGGTGGCGAGTCAGTGCAGGTTGGTGTCGATCGCTGCCACACTCGGAAGCAGTCGTAGGCTCGTCAGGCCCTTCTGGAACTGCTCAATACCGTACCGTCGTCAGCTCAGACCATCAAGCACAGACTGTTGCTGGCAAGGTCGTTATTGCAGTCTGTGAGTGGTGAGGAGGAGAAGCCTGTCATGGCGGCTCTAATCCCAGAGGCTATGGTGGCGACCAGAGACCCCGGAGCTCAGGTAGGGAAACGCAAGAGAGCAAGATTTTGATTGAGAGCTAAAGTTTTAGCGGAGCGATGACAGGTTCGTATTTTGGGATGGACCCTTTTAACGGATGCTTGTCGGCGTTGTGCGGCTTCGGAAGATTCCCTTGTGGCCCTCATCAATATCGTCTGTGCGGGGCTTGCTGGCAGCTCGGTTGACATGGTCTGTGCTTCCGTTGAGACTCTAGGTATCAACAGTCTCTTGTCTCACTTGCAATCTTGCATTTCCTCAACGCACAGGTCTCGTGGTGGAGCAGTGTTGGCCATTGGGTGCTGATGACGTAACTTCGGCTGCTACCGCTAGTAATCCCTTCGCGGCTTCGGCTGTGCCCTCGGAGGCGACGAAGAGAGCGTCTCTGTTGCGGGAGGTGGTCAAGACTGTGCTGTTGGTACGGGCCGACGGTAGAGCTATTGAGAAACCCCTCTTCAAGAGTTTGCTGCTTTTTGTAATATACTGGTCTACCGTGTGGTGACAGCTGAGGGTTTTCAGACTCGGTCGTGTCTCCGCGTGGGTAACGGCCTCAACCGTGAATGCCTAGAGATGTACCATAAGCTGACCTTGAGCGCGGAGGGGAAGAATCAGATGCAGTTGAAGATGGGTATGAGGAGGTTGATGGAGAAGTTGGGTAAAAGAGTCGGATGGGCAGACCTGGCGGCGGCTACACCTGAGGAGCATCGCCCCTTGGTGAAGCATGTAAGGTGCCTTTACTCTCGGGCCGAGTCGGGAAGTCTTTTGATAGGTCCAAAAGCAACTTGAACGTGAGAGGCGTCGGCGCATTATGGAACGCTCAGAGGCTGGGAAGCAGAGGGAGAGGCCAGAGGTGAGTCGTAGTTGCTACTGGACAGGTCCAGGGCGTTGCTCACTGCCCTCTGGGACTAGGGCTGGGGTTGGGGCGCCTTATGAGTTGTTCTTATTCGGTTTCACCAGGATGGTTATGACGGCTTTCTGGCAGAACTTTGAGATTAATAACAGCTCCAAGTTTTATAGTGGCGAACTGGTGTACTAGCTCGTCGTTCGTTAAAAACTGTGATAGAGAGAACAGCAACGTCGCATATCGTTGTTGAATCACATGAATCCACTTGGAATGGTTCTTAGGGTGGATCGACGACATCGGACGAGTCCTCTGGTGAAGACGAGGAGGATGAGCGGCACCGGGTGGCGAAGGGCGCTAAGAGTGGCAAGGGTAATTTCATCATCGATGAGACTGGAGATGAGCCTTTGGATTTGCTGGGACATGGGGGCCAGAAAGGTGTGAGGGAATCTGAGGGAAAACGGAGGAAATCAGTTCTGGGTAGCAGCAAGGTGTTGAAGGAGGAGGACGGAAGGATCGTTGTGGAGGTATACTCCTATCTGTGTTGTATCAAGCATGTTTCGAATCGCAAGTGGCAGGTTCCTGATGAGACAACTGAGGAGGAGAAGCCTTTGGAGAGGGAGGAATTGGGAGCGAAAAAGAAGGGTCTTGGTCGGCTCGCTGAAGTAAGGCCGTCGGTGATGTTGTTGTGGTGGAGAATCGTCAACTTCAAGATACGAGCAGCAAAGAAGGGAGCTCGCCGAGCCAGGCTACAACATGATGTCAAGGGGCTGGACCAGTGTGCTCCTGGTAGGTGGTGTAGTCGAGGGTGCATACCACACCTCTGTGAACTAAACCAGGTTCTAAGACTCGTGGCTCTGGTGATGCTCAAAGGCAGGCTGCCGTCCTCCAGCCCTACGCCTATGTTAGGCTCAATCCCAAGCTTGTGAAGGAGAAGTAAAAAGCGCGCGCCCTAGATGCGGATTAATGCTGTTGGAATTAGTCTCTTCCTTTGGTATGATTATTTACAGGTTCAAGTCGGAGTCTATCCGAAGTATCGATAGAGTGGTGAAGGCCGGCGAAGAGGAGAAAAAGAATGCTCGACTCGTTTCCAAGAAGTCCAAGTTGAGTATTTCCAAAAACAACCGTGGTAAGAGGCGGCGATGAACATTGTCGAAAGCCGCAACGTATATGCCTGTACCAGTATCTCCTACGTTCCTATTGATTTTGAAAGCAGTCGAGTTGGACGCCGGTGGGGGTGGTGGAAAATCTTCCGTGTGCGCAGAGAGTATCTTTTCCCCCCATGTCTGACTCAACATCAAATTTGGATTACCGAGCACTCGTGATTGGCGCTGCGGTTGGAGCAGGAGTTGCTGTGTGGGCCTCCAGCGACTTTATACCCGCTATCCGTGATCGATACGATCTCTATCGCATACGTTGCCGCCAGCAAAAAGCTGCGGAGAGCGCTGGTCAGTCGTCATCAAGTGAAGTCCCTGAGAACGCCCCGGAAAGTTGTCCTGGTGTTGGCAGTGACGATGCTGGCAAGGCTGATGGATGTGCGGGGTGTCCGAATCAGAAGGCATGCGCTAGCGGGGCCGGCAAGGAGGAGGATCCTATGGTTGACGAAGTGGCTTTCAAGCTGAGGAATGTGAGTGACATTTGACTTGTCTTGTATCTTATAGTGTGCGCTTAGGTTAAGAGGAAAATACTAGTGCTTTCTGGGAAGGGCGGTGTGGGGAAGTCCACCGTATCGTCTCAACTTGCATTTACTCTGGCTAACTCTAACAGGGATGTTGGCTTATTGGATGTTGATATCTGCGGCCCTAGCATCCCTCGTATGTTGGGTATCAGTGGTGGTGAAGTACACCAATCGGCAGAGGGGTGGCAACCTGTGTATGTTGATGACAGATTGGCTGTGATGAGCATTGGCTTCATGCTTACTAATAAGGTATGGCTCTCGTCCTCTATGCATTACCATAGTTATGCTTAGGACGATGCTATCGTATGGCGTGGGCCTCGCAAGCATGGGCTTATACGTCAGTTCCTCACTGATGTTACTTGGGGTAACTTGGACGTTTTATTAGTGGACACTCCTCCAGGTGAGCATCCGCTGTTGGTCGTTGTGGTACGTGCGGACTCAGGCACTTCTGATGAGCATCTGTCGATGGTAAACTACTTGAAGGATTGTCAGCCCGATGGAGCTGTTCTGGTCACTACACCGCAGGAAGTCGCTTTACAGGATGTGAGCCCTTCAGCATTATTATCATCGATAACACCCGGTGCAGGTCCGCAAGGAGATCAACTTCTGTCGAGGAGTCGGCCTTCCCATTATCGGTGTTATTGAAAATATGAGCGGCTTTGAGTGTCCCTGCTGCGGAAAGGTCAGCGAAGTTTTCATGCCGAATACGGGCGGAGCGAAGCAAATGTGCAAAGACATGGACGTAAGATATCGACGTAAGATAGCATGCCCATCAGCATTCTATTAGGTCCCCTTCCTTGGCTCAATACCCCTGAATAACGACCTCCAGGCAGCTTGTGAGAAGGGCTTGCCGATCATCGGACTTGGGCCTAACTCTAAGCCTGCTAAAGCTGTCAAGGAGATCTCTGAGAAAATCGTAAGACCCGAGAACTCATTTGCTGATGATGGTTTTGACAGATGCAAAAGGTGGAGGAACGTCCGATCCAAAAGGGAGCTTATGGTTCTGACTTTTAAGCGGGAAGTGAAGTATTGATATGTACATTCCTCTGTTTCTCCCATGCACGATACGGACTTGCGTTGTCTAAGGGCCTGATGACGGTCACTTCTGTAATCAACATCACCTCAAGAGGCTTACAGCCGACTCAGTCCAGCATCAGGGAGGAATAGTGACGGCCCATGGCGGCCTACAATCCGGGCCGTCTCGCCAACGGCGGTCGGTGACCTGTCTTGTCTTGAGAGGCACGGGTTGGGTGAACACTCCGTGTCCTCCCCTCCTTAGTGAGCATGTACTAAGCATCTCTCTGTAAGGATCATTCCTCCTTTTCTTAATGACTGGCTGCTGCACTGCAACTTCCAAGCTCATAAACTACTTCGTTAATACAATCGTCTTCTTGCTCGGGGCTCTGGTCACCGCCTTGGCAATTTACATCCTCGTGTCCGACTTCAAGAGCCTCTTCACTCAATGGCGGATCTGGGTCGGCGTCGCTACTGGTATTGTCCTGATCATAGTAGCTCTCCTGGGCTGTGGAGCTACGAAGAATCAAAACAGATGTGTCCTCACGGGCTTCCTCTTCCTCGCAGGAGTGGTCTTCGCCCTCCTATGCGTCATCGCCATTGCCTCGTCAGTGTACCTGAGCAATCTTGTTTCAATTGGAAGCCTCAACAGTCCCGCCCTCAACAACCTATCTGGTCGTGATCTGAGTACGTACCGTTTTATCCGTGATTCTTACACGTTGGTCTACGAAGATGCCGAATGCAGGGGTGGTGTATGCGGCTTCACTCAGGGAAGTAGCTCCTTACAGTGCTCTCCAATCTTCTGTAAATCCAGAGACGTTACTAAGACCCTCAACAAATGGCTCAACACTGATCGCTCTTCGGGCATCACCCCTGCCTCATTCCAGGCTTGTCTAGCCGAGTCCGCAGAGGACTCGAAAACTCCAATGAGGTCGTCGGCCAGTGCTTGGTGCGGCAGCAATACCTCAGTTATTAACACTCTGAATCGATGGAGTGTGGGTATTCTCATCGGACTTTGGGTCGTTACTGCATTCATCATGTTCGTTTGCATCGCCAATTGTGTCCTCATCTGCGGTAAGGACCGCAAGCGCCACGGTGGGGTGATTGTTGGTGGGAATCCTCAGAGACTGGCTTATGCCCAGCCTGTTTACGGTGGAGATGTCCAAATCGTCAAAGTCTAAGTTCCGAGAATACGTTCAAAAAGTCAACCTCCGTCGTGGAGAAACGTGGAGATTTCGTATCTGTTCGACATCTCATTTCATTCTCCTTATCCTTACTGACGACTCCTCCGTCATCAGCTTCACCTGATAATCATTTTAACCACGCAGCACTTCAAGTGCTCGTTGCCTGACCTGTGAGTCAGCAGTCTCCCGTTAAACTTGCGTTCAGTCTCGAGCAAATGTCAGCAGCCTCGAGTTTAGTCGGTTGCCGTAACCTTCGGTTTAGTTATCATCCTAATATCTTCGCTGGACTGCAGCGCCTTTTTCGAGCGGAACTGATTATTCCTGTCTGTTCTTCGGATGGCAACGTTGGTTGTATTCATGTTGCTCTGTGTGGTGGCGATCTCCTGCCCAATTCACTCCGGTCACCTCAACGGCATCGATGGAGAATGTCGTTCCGCCCAACAGCCTCACTTATTCCGAACAGCAAACAGATAACAAAGGTGGAAGAGGCCAGCTCCCAAGTGGTCAGAACGCTGCTTGCTCAACAACCGTTGAGGACAGTTCTCACATTGCGGTTCCTAGAAGGCAGCAGTTCGTCATACGGAATAACCTCTTCTTCTTCTCGGGCGGACACGAGATGCTCCTGCAATTTGCGACAGCAGGAAAGTTAGAGGCTGTGTGTATGATGCTGCGTTCACGTATATAGCGCCCCATTGCTGCTGATTAATTGAGACGATGAGAATGCAAGAAGGCTCTTTTGCCATCTTGGCACAACTCTGAATGTTCGGTGGTCGGGTTAAGGAACCGACCGAGTGGGACAAGCGTGAGGACCATCATCCAATACCCCGAACATACCCTGCAAGCGGGCTTTACGACAGAGTATCAGATGACCTGATACTCTGTCGATACTCATGTCATGTTGAACGAGAAAAGCCCTAACAACGCAACCCGAAAGGATTAATACTCATTCACTCGTTATCAAGGTATCATGCAGACATACCGCAGGCTACATCAAAATGCGGTTGTTCTAACATTCTGAAGCTTCATTCGATGAAGTCGTCTACGTGCTCGGACTGAGAGTAGTCTGAGCGTCAATCGTAGTAGGGAGAGCTGCAGTGGTGACCTCAACGGTGGTAGCGGCATCGGTAGTCGTGACCGGTAGACCTGTCGTAGTCGTCACCACGGCCGTACTGACCACCTCGGTGGTATAAGCGGTAGTGGTAGCCGTGGTAGTTGCCTCGGTACCGGTAGTCGTGCCCTCCTCGACGGTGGTGGTCTCATCGGTGCTCTCACCAGGGGACGTGGTAGTGGTAGCAACCTCGCAAATGCACGGCACATTGGATATATGGCAGACGCTGGGTGTATCCCAATGCTTGCAGTAGGAGCCAGGGGTATCCGAGGCACAGCCAGCGTCGCAGTCGCGAGGGGCTTCAGTCGTTGTGCTCGTGCCGCAGGAACACGGGTCGTCCGAGCCAAAGCAAGTACTGGGGGTCTGCCAGTATTTACAATATGACCCGGGGTAAGTGACAGCACAGTCAGCGTCGCACTCGGCGGTATTGCCCATCACGTAAGTGATATCCGTGAGGGCACTAAGGACGATGAATACAGCAGTGGAGAAACCTGGAGCCATCATGGGAGAGCAGGAATGAACTACGAGTGGTGACTGATGACGCAGATGCAGAATTAATAACCTGCACAACATGCGATGGAGAACGCCAGGCTGATAGCCAGGGATAGAGTTCGGCGACAAGCGTCGTGACGTCCCGCAGCTGGCGGCGCAGCGAGCAGTTACACTCAATCGTTTCATATGATACTCCATATAGTGCAGCTCCTTTCACTCTACTGAAAGTCCCCGAGAAAGCCTGGTAATGATAGTCCATCTTTGGGCTCTGCTGATTGGGATAATGAATATGAAATTACAATCATATCGTGCAGGTTGAAATTTTCAATGGGCCCGAGGTTCGCTACTCATTTTCCGATTCAGTTCTCACAGTACTTCTCATTCCGCAGAATAGACCCAGAGGATGCAGTAGAACCGGACTTACTGCTGCGCATCATATTTTCAGCTGAGCACACAGCGTGCTCTCTATGCGCGTTTTTTCCTGATGAGGAGTGTGTATCGCAAAGCGCGGCCAATATTGTATCAGAAGGGGGTGTAAGCCATGACACAATCAACGAAAATCAAATCAAGACTCCCTGTCCGCGGTAAAAGTATCACACTAAAATGACACAATCAAAACTGTGTGCGGGGCGCCCACTTAACTCATTTGACGCATGGTGAGTTCATATGCTTGGGTCAACGAGTTAAGATGTCCACCTACTCATCGGTAGCGCTACAGTCGAATCCAGCAGTCAGCTCTCCGACATGTCTGAGCATATAGAGCCTCGCAACATGGTCGGCAAGGCAGCTCACCAGGCTAGCGACTCGGCGCTCGATCTCAGCTACGTTGTCAGCCCGACCCAATGGGAGCATGTCACAGCTCGAGATCCAACCATCCGAACGTTTGTTAACTTACCTGCAGGTTTTCCCAGCAGGACTAGTAGCAAAGTCCCCCCAACTATACTCGCCCTGAATGCTAATTAGAGTGGTCTTATCTTAGATTTGCTACTGAGTCCACAAAAAGGGCGTACCAACTTGCGAACAACTATCAACTCTCAACACAAAGCTCTTGTTAAAATGAATGTGTCAACGTAGTTGAGCACTAGTGAATATGATCATGTTATGGACTATAACTTATAGTGTGGTGTGAAGCATCGATATACATAGTCACGAGAGAGCTCGCGGAATTCAAGGGATAGTGGTGCAGATGCAGGGCACATCACTAGCATAACAGACAGAAGGATTCAACCAGTATTTGCAATACGATCCAGGACGGATAGCTCGACAACCAGCGTCGCAATCAACTGCAAATACCGTGCTAGTTGTAGTTGTAGAAGTCACTGTAATAACATCACCACTCCTCGTGCTCACCGTGGTCGAACTCCCTCCCCCGCGACCGTCATCATCCGTTGTCGTGATAGTCGATTCCTCACGGAGGATCTTGATAAGAGACGGCCTCAACGACATGCCAAAGTTGACGGAAAGCATACCACCGAAGACACAGAAGCCCCCACATCCACCAATGCCAATACCGCCACCCTCAAAGCCGAGAAGGACATTAGAGACCCTTCGAGGGGTTGAATCTGTAGCGGTGACAACCACACCGTTCTCGTTGGCCATCATGATCGACATCCAGCCCTCGTCATCTTGAGGGTTGAGAACACCACCTAGAGGGTCGATCCACGAAGTCTCATCGGCGGATAGAGTTGCGCACTTGAGGACGTAAGAGTCTCCAACTAGTTTCCACAGAAGATACCGTAACCCATTAGGACCGACCGTACTATCACCACCGCAGTCAACCAGGGTGACGTCAAGGAAGATGGGCTCACTCGGAGAAGCGACAGCAGTGAGCTCTGTGACGCCCGCGGGGAAATCGAAATCCACCATTGCCTCGCCATCATTGAGCACGGCTCGTTTTGATGCCAGTGGCAGGCCGTTCTCGAATACCTCGACAGTGACAATCAACCCGGTCTCCTTGTTGTTGATGACGCCGCTAGAGTCAAGAGCAACGACACGGAGTATCCTGTTACCACCAGCAGTTGAAACCATAGGCTCAATACCGGTCAGTATGAGATCAAGCGACTGACTACCTTTGACCGTTCGATCAAACTTGCCCTGAGAGCTGTTGCTATACTTCAATTCCAGCTTGACGATGTCCTGCCAGTCAGCGCCAGGGCTATCGTCTCGGTACCAAGTTCCGCCACCACAACCGCAACAACTGACATTCGCTGGCGTGGTTGTAGCAACAGTCATAAAGTCACCCCATAGAGCATTCCAACCAATACCGTAGAGACCAGCCGGGGTGCACAGAGCCTCAGCAATGTAATCAGCGCAGTGTCTCCCAGCACCGTCCAACCAGTTGATATCATCTTCACACCATGCGTCAAGATCATCATCGGGTACACCCATGTATGGCACAGCCAGAGAGAAGTTGACAGACATGGAGGAAAGTGGCGGAACGATCACTTGTTGGGATTTAACCTTTGGGATAAAGATCAATGTAAGAGGTCCGGAGGTAGCCAAGAGATGCATCAAGTTGTGACAGTCGTTAGCGTCACTTCCCTTCAAACCAGCTGCAACATCCTCACGATAAGCTGGGTCAGGCAAAGAGGCGTAGAGTAGATCGATACGTCCTTCCGAGAACAGGTGAGCCTGCATACTCAACGTATGCCAACTGTTGTTCACCTGAACCTCCAAACCGTCCCATTCAACCATCAGCAGCCGTGTCTTGTAGTCCAGCACGTACGAGATATTGCAAGAGCTAACGGAGCACCTAGTTGAATTGGCTTCAGTCCAGTAAGCGGCGATAGCATGTTTCGGCTCAGCTGGCGAAGGGATACGAGGGAGGGCCGTGACTGGCGATGGTGAGAATGGCGGCAACTCGATGAAACCATTGCAACCAACATTGACCGAGTCGACGTCAACGCCGAAAAAAGGGAAGTACTGACCAAGAGAGATCATATGCACTTCACCTCCGATACAACCCGCTAGTATATGTTGACCAACAATAGAGATTTCCGGGACCCAGCCTCCACCAGTAGGCCAGATAGGAAAAGATACCGCAGAGAATGGACCTTCTACCAGATATTCGGCATCGCTAGCGACCACTTGCGTCTTCAGCTCGTACGTTGAGGGATTCTCAATTGTAGCCGTAGAGGGAACCATCCGCAAACCAACAGGGATATACTCTGTAGAGTTCGTGGCCGAGCCGTTGGACACACGGATAGTTGATGACTGCACAGAGGCCGTCAGAGGTATGGGCGGGCAATTCTCACTCAAGCTATCAACCACAAGATTGACTGGCCCTGGGTGGAATACGGCCAACGAGAGCTCGACAGTGACCGACTGGCCCTCAGCAACAACGACCGGACCAGCTGGGAGGATAACTTGGAGTTCTGGACTCCATGGGAGCATTCTACTTGGGTCGACAACGAGGTCAGAGCCAAAAGTATTAGTAATAGTATAGCTGGCAATACCTAAGGATGACTGTGAAAAGAGCTAAACCCAGACGGGTAAGAGCCACCTGTGCTGCCAGCCATAAGAACTCCAAAGTCTATCATCGGAACTGATACTTGGCAGGCACCAGGAGGGGGAACAGCTCGAAGGCGGATGTCCAGGTGGACAGCGCCTTCACCAATAACGCCTCCCAAATCATACCTGATGTGAGAATGAACCGAGAAAATTAAAGTCTCGGCAGTCACTGTTAAAGCATTGTCATCAACTTACTCTCTGTAGCCTATCATAGGAGGCGTGAATACGCAAAGTTGCATCTCGGCGCTCGAAAATGGAGAGAGTCGGACATATTCGACGCATTCATCGTCCTTCCAGACAGAGAGAGCCCTGCTCACAATCAAATGATAATCGCTCATGTTCCTCTCCATTCCCCACCCGTTAAGCCAGTTAGCATTGCCAACGACCGCTTGCAAAGCGGCATATGCATCGACACGTCCATAGGCAGTCCATCCTGCAGCGCTAGCAGTAGTGATTATCGCGGCGATCACTTCGTCAAATGCCAGAGGGAATGGCGACCGTGCTGAAGAAAGACCGCAGGCATCGATTAGTCATAGTGGGAAGGACACACATCCAATTAATAAGGCAGCGAGTCCAGCTACTTCAGCAGCGGCTAAGCTGGTACCATTGAATGTAGCATAACCATTCGGGGTGGCAGTTGAGATGACGTTGACACCAGGAGCAGATACGTCGACTACAACTGAGAAGGAAACACTCAACCGACGGGGGCGGTATGATCCTACTTGGCCCGTAGTTAGACGAAATCCATCGGTCCCCACTGGCAGTATGCGCAGCCGTACAGAGAACATTAGTAGCATTGAAACCACATGGATAACTCCCACCCATAACATCCAAGTCCTGCCCATCGTTTCCGGCAGCAGCCACAAGTAGGTGACCGAATGTTCCGGCACGCCCAACCGCGATATGGAAGACAGCCGAATAAGATCTTGCAAACCAGGATACACTGCTTATTTTCACACCCTTGTCGATAGCGTAGTCAAATGCTCGCAGCGCATCGCTCAGCCGACCAGTGACATCATAATCAAATACCTTCAGGGGCAACACTCGGGCGAAGGGGTAGCCAACACCGATGATCCCCTCGCCGTTGAAACCTTCTGCTGCGATCAGACCTGTAAACAATATTATTTCACGGCCGCATTGGGCTATTCTGAACAACTTACCAGCACACGCTGTGCCATGTCCATTGTTGTCCATTACATTAGCATTTTCGTCTATGAAGTTCCAACCACGGACCTGAACAGATGAACTGGATGCACCCGACAAGTTCGGTCCCACATCATCGATGAATCCATTCGAATCGTCGTCGACCAGATACTGTGCCATCATACCGTCCTCAGCTTCGTTCTCATATACCGCATCCGCGACGTCAGAATGACCATAGTCGACACCTGAGATCAATGAAGCAATTGCTGCCATGATAAGGAGTTGAGTCCTTACCGGAGTCAATGAGAGCAACAGGGATCATCGGGTGATTATCCTGATCACAACTAGTGTCGTTATCGGACGGGCGGTCATTCAATATCTGATGGACTCGCATATCATCGAGAGCCCATTGTTGGCCGAAATACCTACAAAGATCGAATCAGTAGATGCTGTTGGACTGAATGGATACTTACGTATCATCTGGTGCGGACATGGAGAGAGAACGACCGTCGTGATGCGCCAGTTCGATCGAGAAATCCTCTTCAGCTAGTATGCCCATCATGTTCATCTGCTGCACGAAAGGAGTTCTGAGAAAGAGCGCAAGTAAAACACAAGTTTGTTTGAGCAGAGGACATGAGCCACACTTACGGGTCGTTAGTTCCGACAATCTCTATGACACCGATTTGCAACACCTCCAAGTGATACACGGTGTATGTCAGGTTAACAGGAATCGATAAGTTCGAGTTGACATCGAAGTATGGGGCTGTAGCGGAGCTGAACGAAGCACACGCGACCTGTTCATCGGACTCGAGGAAGTCGGAAGCGCTCACTCGTAAATGATGCGACATTTATCAGCAGCTCCAACTCCGGCGTTGGCAGGTCCCTGAGAAAAAACGAGTTGCACTGAGATAGCTGCCATTCGCTGATCACTTGTCCATATGCACTTGCCTGGCCGACACGAACTTCTCTATCAATCGAAAAGTGAATCTGAGATGCCAACAAATCAAGATAGCTGACAGATGCGATTCTTACTGGTGGTGGGCTAGAGATCTGGTGGTGCTGCAGGTACTTCGGGATATCACCGAAATCGATGATCTCGCTGCCCGAGCCGGAGTTGTTGATCGTAAAGTTGAAACACTCGACTGACTTGTTCGGATCGGCTCGTGAGTAATACCTGAAGATAATAATATCAAAACTTCTTGGAGAGAACACTTACATTTCTATGTCAATCGGACTCGGAGACGAAGATATGAATTGGGACACAGATAGGCGTCGGTCTGACAGTGCGTCAGCACGGAAGATGATGCCAAGGAGAGCAGCAACATACAAGATGACGAGGTAAGCGGCTCTTGGAGAGTCCGGCATTCCGGAGAACAGACGAAAGCAAGTCTGACAAAGATGGCAACCGTCAACTTTACGAGCGGAAACATGACTAAGCTCAAAATCGAGGGTGATTACTCTCATTACCATCTCGCGTCGGTTCCGAAATATCTATCGGTTTCGTCTGCACCGCAGAAAAGATACTCCTAGGATACACCGGGCTAGCGCTGCACGGACAGGTTCCTTGGGTGCGCAAAGCATCGCACCGGCTTGGTTGAGCTTCGTAACCGCCAATGAGTAAGTATCACGATTATGTCGATTGCTATCTCTTTACCATATTATGCAATTGCGCGAGCATAAAGGTAGAGTAGGTAAAGATTGTCTAAGTGGTAGTTGGGGACTTCGGTGATCACCTCCAACAAAGGTGGCGCCAGTTACAGCTAGCAATCGTGGTATCTATTGCAAGGCCGATTCAATTCGTTTCCGTGCGTATTCTCTCTCATTTGTGTTCTCGGATGCGATATTGCAAGTCCATATGGACGTATTCGAGGACGTAATGAACACTCTTGTCACGGGAGTATGGAAAAGCTGAAGAGCGCGCAACACGATTACGGAGGTTTTGGCGCCCATCTATGTTCCACGGTAGTTTAGATGATTCTAGATCAATGCTGAAAGGCTCTCGCGATCGAGCCGGTAACCATCCCATTATGACGTCGAGGTTAAATCAAAAAGTTAACTGTGGTGATTGACCCGTTACCGTGAGCATTCCTCACTGTTACTCATTGAGGAACGGCGCTCACGAGCTTGATAAGCAACAGAGTGCATTCGCGCGACATATTCACAATTTTGCCCTACCGTCGCGACATTTAGCTGTGCTCCCAATCGACCAGCGGCCGTGGGGAGCTAGAGCCCCTCAATACCACGACAATCTAATATAGACAGTTCCTGCAGCGTCATACCAGCATGTCTGACTTGGTGCGCATCATAAAATTATCAACGCGACTCGGAAGAGTTAACAGTCACTCACTAATCCGTTATAAAGACATCATGCAGTTCATCGCGAGCTTCATCAATTGCGGTCGTTCGGACGTTCCAAAGCTTCATTCACCAAATTCGTCTACGTGCTCGGACCAGGAGTGTCAACCGTAGTAGGGAGAGCTGCGGTGGTGACCTCAACGGTAGTGGCGGCATAGGTAGTCGTAACCGGTCGATCTATCGTAGTCGTCTCCACGACCGTACTGACCATCTCGGTGGTATCAGCGGTAGTGGTAGTCGTGGTAGTTGCTTCGGTGGCGGCAGTCGTGCCCTCCTCGACCGTAGTGGTCTCATCGGTGCTCTCACCAGGGGACGTGGTAGTGGTAGCACCCTCGCAGATGCACGGCACATTGGATATATGGCAGACGCTGGGTGTATCCCAATACTTGCAGTAGGAGCCAGGGGTATCCGAGGCACAGCCAGCGTCGCAGTCGCGAGGGGCTTCAGTCGTTGCACTCGTGCCGCAGGAACACGGGTCGTCCGAGCCAAAGCAAGTGCTGGGGGTCTGCCAGTATTTACAATATGACCCGGGGTAAGTGACAGCACAGTCAGCGTCGCACTCGGCGGTATTGCCCATCACGTAAGTGGTATCCATGAGGACACCGAGGACGATGAATGCGGCAGTGAAAGAACCTTGAACCATCATGGGAGAACACAAATGAGCTACCAGGAGGCCTTCCATGACCGATACTATTGAAGAAACACCTCACAACGTTGATCCGCTATCTGCTGCATTACAATGAACTTACACAGATCTCCTAGGCTTGAGGCGTGGCGAGCATACACTCAGCACATCCAGACGTTTCACAAGATATTCTGTATAGTGCGGTATACCTCGGTCACCCAATCATCTAGGGATTGGTCACATACTCTTCGCATAGCCATCGCCTAAAACCAAATATCTCCGTTTGCGAGATTGCCAGGTCATCAGAGTCTGCCCTGGGTCACACCGAAGGAGCTCACCGCACACATCTACTGTATTCCTAGGTAGCTGAATATAGGCTGAAGATGGTAGTCTGCGTGTTAGCATGACCGACCGACTCATCGTAAAATCATCATAATTCATGATCCTAATGTATCCCGACTCGAAAGTGAGATTCATCGAGAAGCTGCGTGACGTGAATCGCACATTAGCGTTTCATACGAAACGGGAGGGGTACCAGGCGCGATCGAAGTTCACTTCATCACCAGAATAGACTAGCACTTAGTCTTCTACTGTGGTTTACTGTCATGCCTTCTGCTCAGATTCCTAAGCCTTGTCACCATGTGCTGTGAAGTCAGCTGCGCAGTCGGTTTTTTTACAGGTTCACCAGCGGGTCCAACCGTCGTTGATGCGCTCTGTCGTCCACACATACCCTCCTCCCCGGCAGAGTCCTCCCAATTACTATTCCAGGACGCTAGGTTGACCACAGCAATGCTGAGTCTTGTGAAAGCCTGAAGCCCCCTTGCTCCTCTACTAGTAAGCCTCCTCTAATTTTCTCACAGAAGTAGACGTCCCCGCCACTACCGTATTTTACTCGTCATTGTACAACTCCAACTACACCGTCGATTTCGTATGTCTCACAGAGAAGATCGTATATGTGCCTCCGAAGAGTGTGTTGAGCAACAGATATTCTTCCAGCTCTATCGTTCTGTTGTTCACTCCTACTCTTAACGCTGTGCCTTGGCTCGGAGCCGTTACTATCGCTAGTTAATTCTTGCATGACTACTTCACTTCTGCTTATACTCTTGGCAACGTCGCCGTTCGCGACCTCTTCTGAATGCCACGCGCACTTCGATGGCGATGGGATCGAGTGGGACGGGCCCGAGGTTTGCGCCGCCTCGCAATCCAGATTCTTACAGACCACCGATTTCATCAAGGCAGTACCGGCGACGATCCAAGTTGAGATGTAAGTCATCTCGAAGACTCAGCGCTTCCACCCGACATCAGGCTCTACAACGCTACTGGTTCGGACACCACAGAAATCGACTTGCTCCTGACGAACACCGGATCGGGTGTTGAAGTTGTTGAGTTCATCGACCTCGGCCGAGATCTTAACGTGATGGAGTTACAGCAGTCAACCTCGGCTGTTCCTGAAGTAAGTCTGACCGCTCGCACGCTTACGTGTATTTTCTTGGTAGTTATCTCCGCTAGTCAATCGCCCATCACGCGTGGCTGCTACTGAAGGATTCACCCGAGTAGGTTTGCTGGCCCCTACGGAATCGCTGAGCTCTCCCACTTCGTCAGGGCCAAGACCGAGATGGCTCAGGTTCGCGCCGCATCACTTTTGAGTAAGTCAACTCTGTGTTGTCGAGGAACCACTGCTACATTATCGCATGGCAGCACTACCGGTCGTGACGTCGCCGAGGTTACCCAATTGACTGAGCAAATGTCGACTCCTTTCACGCGCACGGTATTTCTGAGCAACCTGAATCTTGCAGTTTTGGAAGCTGCAGACGCTGTTGATGCGTAAAAAAGGTGAATTCTGGTCTGACAATTATTGATTTGATTATGTGGACAATTCATTACTCGCTGATGGGAGTAGATGCAAATGCGTCATCAGGCCCGGCGTCGTCGAAGAGCTGACTGCGCTCGGCTTCATGGTGGAGCTTGATGTGCCATTGAGGCTAACGGCCGACTCCCCGAGGTGGACCGAACATGCCCCTGGTGGAGGATACGTCCAATCAGTGTGCGCTTCAACCATCTCCCATGCTCATCTCACACTTGAAGCCCATTTTCTGAACGAGGCTATTTTTCCTCAGCAACACCTCGTCCCAATGGTCCTTGATCGGCCTGGGTATGAAAGATATACTGCGGACTATGGGAGCACTCCGCGTTGATGAGTCGTCGAAGATTATTGTTGCTCTCTTGGATTCTGGTAGGGTGGCAGTGGTTTTGCTCCGAGACGACTTTCGTGGCATTTCAGGTGTGGATTTCGAGCATCCTTCTCTGGAAGGATCTGTCGCGATCAATGCAGCGGAGCGTGAGGGCAAGGCTGAAGTCGATGATGATAACAATGGCTTCACCGATGATGTAAACGTCGTCACCGAATACTACACATATCTCATACTGTGCGTAGGTGCGCGGATGGAATTTCGTAAGTGATGATGGAAATGTGATGGACAATGTTGGTCACGGGACGCACTGCGCCGGTAGCGTTCCTTCCAGATTCACCTCTACCGTTGAGATCATCATCAGGTTTGATAGCGGCCGATGGGAAGAGTGGCCTCATCGGCACCGGCCTTTCCTATGCTCGAGTGCTGCCTTTGAAAATATTCGATATCGGCAATGGTGGAGTTGGTCGCCTTTCCGATGCCTTGAGAGCTGTCGACTACGCTATAAGTCGGGGAAGCAGAGTCAGCAGCATTGGCTGGATCGCTGAGACTTATTCGGAGATCTTCCGTCAAGCTGTGCTGAGAGCTCAGAATTATGACCATATGTTTGTGGCGAGCGCTGGTAATTCTGGTATCGACCTCGACGATGTGGGTGGCAGCTATCCTTGTGGATTTGCCGCGCCCAACGTACTCTGCATCGGAGCGCACGGACCAGATAGGAATCTAACACCGACTTCTAATTTCGGCCAAGGTAGAATAAGAGTATATCAGATTTTCTTGAGTATTATTTCAGTCGTCGACGTATCGGCACCGGGAGAATTCGTCATGTCGTCTTCAATTGATGGCGGATCTGACACGGTGGCCGGGACGAGCGTTGCAGCAGCGCAGGTCGCGGGAGTGGCTGCGATGCTGATCGGAGGTATGCAAGCGTCTGGTCTGTGTTTCGGTGTTGGGGGAATATATGTTCGCTTTCCTCAGCTGAGCTTAGGAGTTTTTTGTCACTAATGACTATATGAAGTCGGATAGAAATTTTCAGATATAAATGAAAACTTCCTGAAATTTCCTCAGAACTATCATATTGTCACCAACATATGTGATTGACCATGTGCATATTTTCCCACCGAAAATAGTATTTTCTGCAAACGTCGCTGAAGGATTCGCGAAAACCGATTTTGAGCAGGAATGATGTCCTTTTGTGATTCCTATTAGTCCGCCGTCCTTTCCCACTATATTTCGACGAAGTTGCTGCGGCCATCATCACTTCCACACAACCCTGCGCGGGCACTGCGTTTGGCTGCGTTGACGTTGGTAGTGTTCTCGAGGCCGTGACTGGAAAGAAGATGCTGAGCAAGTACGCTACTACCATCTAGTTGGCGTGAACCCGTCTGCTTCAGGGCGCTGTATGTCGCTACTGGTCATCCCAGGAAGGCTATCAGTCGTATAAGGTTGAGGCCACATCAATCCAAGGCTCTCGCTGTGGTCTTATCCGGAATGTCAGCTCCTATCGGCTACAGGGAGTAGGTGTAGTCGTCTTAGTCAGTGAGTGAGCCAGGAACCTATAATGCTCCTGGCGGGAACTCATTGGCTGGATTTGAGACGCTATTTCTCGAAGCTGGATGAGTCCGCGGCCTTAGTTGGTACCAGAATTTCCGTGAAGGCATCGGTTCGATAATACCCTCGTCGTGTTCATAGCTTTTCAAACCTCGTCATTGGGAGTCATTTTCCCAAAGCGAATGTATCCTCCGCTTTTCCCATTTTTGGCGTCCTCAGGTACGATATTCAGGGCACTATCGGTGGTGGTCTCGTTGCTATCTCCATCGGTGTCCGATCGAGTGGTCACTTGTCCACGGGCGATGATGGGGTGAAATGCGAAGCCTCGAACAACGGGACGGTGGACTTCGGACGAGTTATGGTCGGACAGGAAAGTAATGGTCTTCTTCGTTTGCGGAGTTGATGATTGAATCGGTGAATTCTCAGGTGAAGCGGAGTTTGATCTGCACAATGGTGGCGATGTGGAAGTGTTGGTGGACCCCAATAGGCTGCTCGGATGGGCGCCGCTACTGAGAGTCGATCATCCTACGTCTGCCGTACCTCTGTCCGTTGGGGAGTCCGTGAAGATCATCATCGCTTATGTGGCTCGCAAGGTTGGACACCAACGATTCCGTATGGACTCACTGGCGGCTGGATGCGATCCAATAGAAGTAGTCGCCGACACGGTCCCGAACCCCCTGGTCGTGCACGAGGGGCCGACGGTCATTTCCGTTCCAGCTGGCTCGAGGTGTATCGCGACGTTGGTTAATATCACTAATCCTTCGAAGCATACCATCCATCGGGCATCTCTTAGACCGCGAGGAAGGTTCTATATATTTGAGGCTATCTCGGTTGGGGACGTAGAGTTCCCTTTGACGTCCCTGGGCGGGGGATGGAGACCTGATATGGATTCCGCTGCGACTGAGGTGGACTGTGATGCTCAGCAGCCGACGGTGGTTGAACTGAATCGTACGGCAATTTTCGACGGTGAGGAAGTGAAGCGTTTCGGCATCTTCTGCAATGGACTGGTCATGGTGTCACCTTCCCAGTACCTTCCACGCATCGACAGCTCATCACGATTCGTAGCGGCGTATTGGGTCCCGACTGAGCGCGCTTCATGTATGGGCGAGAGAGGCTGCCGAGTGTCGTTCTTGGTAACTGTGGACTGTTTGATTGTCGAGTGGAGGGACTTGCATGTTTCTACTACTGCAGTCAATGTGAAAGTCCAAATGCATCTCCACTACGATGGTCGATTGACACTTCTGTACCCGGAGCAGCACGAGGCTTACTCGGCTGATGGAGCCGTTGTTGGTATTGGCCATTCTCATTTCGCGGCTCTGGTCAACGTTACAGGGTCGGTGGTGCTATTGTGGACGCCTCGGCTCCAAGCGACTCCTATGGAAGTTTTGCCAGAGACAACCGAGTGCATTAATGCAACCCTCAACTTGAGGCCGTTTGGTGCCAACAGCTCCTATGACGGGTCTTGTGGGAGCGACCTTGGATGTATCGAAGAGAGCTCGACTGAGGCCGTATGGACCGACAGCATCGACATCATCTCTTGGGGAGCCTCAGCCTCGCATTATCATCACGTCGAGATCTACGGCACGGAGCTGCTCTATAGTGATGTAGTTGATGAAAGTGGTATGCTATCGAGTGATGGAGGGAACACCGTCGTTGAAGTACTTGCATTAGACCAGCTGGGTCGGGTTAATACGGCTGAGGATGGCCTTCTGATTACGGTGAGTATGCTGATCGGCGTGGAGGTCTTCTATTCCGAGAATACACTGTTGAGGGCGGGTCGAGCCAGTGTTAATGTCGAAGTTCCCGCGGGTAGGGCTCCGGTGTCGGTCGTTGCTGAGGCCGCGCATGAAGTTGAAATTCCATTCGACGTCGTCAACTGCGGTGGCAACGATGTGACTGGCGACAACGGTCTACGTTATTTGCTTTGGAACCCCTCGGATGACCGTTTGATTTGCGCGATACGTAACGGCTCTTCGTGGTCGACTGTGAGGAAGGCAGGAGAGCTCGGTGACGATGTGTGGATCTCGGTGATGACTGCTGCTGGGCAAGGGAGAGTTGTGGTACCATCGGATAGGATTCCGAGAAGGAGCGGTATGGTTGTGCTGGGTCAGGAGTCGAATGCTATCGGAAGCGGCAACTGTGAGGGTTTCTGTGTGTTTGGGGGGCCTCTGAGTTTGAACATGTGGAAGTATATGAAAAGGCCTGTGGAAAAGGTCATTCGGGAGTTGTTGACTACTTCTACTGAGGACCCGAGGGATAAGTTACCACCACCGGAAACACCGACTCGAACTGCGATTACTCTAACCGGTGTGACGACTACCACTACTACGACAACCACTACAGCTACATGGTGGAATATGTCTACAACGAGTGTGGGCAGTACGGAGCTGTGGACTACGACTGAAGCGCTTGTCACGACGGCTACAACAGCACCGCTGACTCCGACCAGTACTACTTCTACGACTACCATGTGGTCGGACGTTGGGGCTCCGACCACTGCAGTGATGACGACGACTGCCAATGAGATCTTGGAAACTACGACGACTCCAACAAGTTCAACCTCGAGTGCATTCTCTGTGTATGGTACCACCACGACGGTTGACAACACTGGGAATGGCACTAGAAGACTCCGCGAATCTGGTGAGAGACCATAAGGTTGCAGACACTGGTCGAGTGATGTTCATCAGATAATGAAGGTGGACAAGGAGAGGAGAGCTCAGTTGAAGTGACTGCTATCGAATCCAGACTTCTTGTTGCATCCCCACCTTAGGCCTCATCAGCGAAGACTATCTCTTACGGGGGTTTCCAAGCTCTGATGGTTGCTACTATCATATTTGTTGGATTCAGTACTCTATGTGTGCGTTGGATGCGTCGTAAGGTATCCCATGATAAGCAACATCCACTCGCTCGTACCCAAGAGCAAGAATAGGTGATCTTGAGTTCTTCGTGCTCGCTCTTGGCTCCGAGGCCACCAGAGCAATGCGGTTCAGGTTCATTTCCGTTGTTAAGTTGATAAGATAGACTTTTGTTCCGCAAAGTCGGATTCGTACGAGATGTAGACTCTCCATGATTACATGCACGTGAGTCTCTTATGTCAGTGTTGCGTTGATATATGGTGCTAGTCTAGCACTGCTAGAAGAGGGAGCTAAGAACACCCGTATTCGAAAATGCATCAACACATCAGACGAACTCAGATTCCTCGCTCAAAAGCTTCCACCGTTTTACTCGGGTTGACGGTATTCGATGCATGTGGAATGTGGCAGTGTGCATATACCTGCCTCGGTCTTGACTCTACCGAATCGACAGGGACCAGCTACACCTCGAAGAAACTCGGTGGATGATTGTTTCCAAGGGAGTTGACATCAAATCCAGAAAGATCCCGATCAGAACGGTTCAAGTCCGGGTCCATAAGTCATTACGGCACCCGAGATGAGGGAGTGACCGGAAGATAGGCTATGTCGATGGTGGGCAGCTCAGAAGGAACCCGGATAACACAAGGCGTATACACATCAGAGAATCATCTAGAAGGTGCCACCTTCAAGGTGGCAGCTCTTCTGATCATATTCCATATCGAGAACAACTTATCCGTCAGGTGGCAGTCCTGCTAGACCACTGCGAAGGAATTTTGTTGAATTTCAGACCAGCGATGTCGTATCGTGAGGACTAAACGTTTTCTCTGATACTCTCTTCATGACTCGATAGCGGGCGTACGACGTTACTATCGGAGGACTCAGAGATCTTGAAGGGACTCCCAGGACTACCTTGAAACTCACACAAAATTACAGTTTTCCAGCAGTGCAAAGTTATGATATCGCGGCCGCTTCTACTGCCGCATTATCCACGAGTGCTTCCACGAAGAAAACAACTTCGGTCTCAAATTGGGACCGAAGTCGTTTTTTTTGGGACTCCCAATTCCCTAGTATAATATTGGTAACCGCTCCTATTCGTCCACGTTCCGCTGATGCTTACACCTTGCTGGCTTTGCTTGGGAGCAGTATTTATTAGGCACCGTATTTCGTGGAGGATCATACATGCTAGAGTGTTGAGACCCGACCGTGTGAAATTTTGGGCTGTCGCTGCGGAACATTCTGTACGGCTGTTCGCCTCGCTTCCATCACGAGGTGCCACGAGCATGGCCGCTCATCCCCGAGCAATTATGAGTCGCGTTCTAAACTAGTAAGACCACAATGCTGAGCTCAACCGTGTGCGACGGTAAAACGATCAGAAACGCTGATATTTTTCAACAGAAGCATCTTTCGGTTACACATGCTCGTCGAAGGTGTTTCGAAGATATGCCGGGCTGGCGCGAGTTGCCACGACTTCCAAACATTTGTGATTGTACGTTTAGCTGTCCAAGTCGGAACGTTCGAAAGCCCGATAGGAAAACTCCTGACAGGTTTGCTCCTACCCTTCGACTTATGGTATCTCGTGCTGTTACTACCCTGCTCTCTACCACAGCCTCCGTAGTGAGTGTGGTGGGCAACACTATTGCCTGTGATGCCGAGTGTGCCCTGACTTTCCCTGGTTCCTACTGCAAGTACTGGCAAACACCAAGTGTGTGCTTTGGCTCTAATACCCCATGCTCATGCGATACCAGCTTCCTTACAGCCTCTCCAGTCCGATGTGATGCGGGTTGTGCTGAAGAGGTTCCTGGGTCTTACTGTAAGTACTGGAAGTCACCGAGTGTTTGCCACATTTCAAACACTCCTTGCTCTTGCGCTGATTCTACCACAAGCGACACGACGGTGCAGACGGTGAGCACATCGGCAACGACTATCTCTGTGACACCTACCACTTCAATACCATCGACTACCGTCGTGACCACTAGGGCAGTGGTCACCACCATAACAGCGTCCACCACTGCTGGGGCTACTTCCACACCAGGTTCGACGACTGCTGAGGCTACTACCACACCAGCTCCGACTACTGTAGAGGCTTCTACCACACCAGCTCCGACTACTGTAGAGGCTTCTACCACATCAGCATCGACTACTGTAGAGGCTTCTACCACACCACCATCGACGACTGCTGAGGCTACTACCACACCAGCTCCGACTACTGTAGAGGTTTCTACCACATCAGCATCGACTACTGTAGAGGCTTCTACCACACCAGCATCGACTACTGTAGAGGCTACTACCACACCAGCTCCGACTACTGTAGAGGCTTCTACCACACCAGCATCGACTACTGTAGAGGCTTCTACCACACCAGCATCGACTACTGTAGAGGCTACTACCACACCAGCTTCGACTACTGCTGAGGCTACTACCACACCAGCTCCGACTACTGTAGAGGCTACTACACCAGCTCCGACTACTGTAGAGGCTTCTACGACACCAGCTTCGACTACTGTAGAGGCTACTACACCATCTCCGACTACTGTAGAGGCTTCTACCACACCAGCATCGACTACTGTAGAGGCTTCTACCACACCAGCATCGACTACTGTAGAGGCTTCTACCACACCAGCTCCGACTACTGTAGAGGCTTCTACCACACCAGCTCCGACTACTGTAGAGGCTTCTACCACACCAGCATTGACTACTGTAGAGGCTTCTACCACACCAGCATCGACTACTGTAGAGGCTACTACACCAGCTCCGACTACTATAGAGGCTACTACCACACCAGCTTCGACTACTGTAGAGGCTACTACCACACCAGCATCGACTACTGTAGAGGCTACTACACCAGCTCCGAGTACTGTAGAGGCTTCTACACCAGCTCCGACTACTGTAGAGGCTTCTACACCAGCTCCGAGTACTGTAGAGGCTTCCACCACACCAGCTTCGACTACTGGAGAGGCCACCACATCAGCAACAACTACTGTTGTGGCGACCACACCAACTTCGACTACTGCTGAGGCTACTACCACACCAGCGCCGACTTCTGCAGAGGCCACCACACCAGCATCGACTACTGTAGAGGCTTCTACCACACCAGCATCGACTACTGTAGAGGCTTCTACCACACCAGCTCCGACTACTGTAGAGGCTACTACACCAGCTCCGACTACTGTAGAGGCTTCTACCACACCAGCTTCGACTACTGTAGAGGCTACTACGCCAGCTCCGACTACTGTAGAGGCTTCTACCACACCAGCTTCGACTACTGTAGAGGCTACTACACCAGCAGCAACTACTGTTGTGGCGACCACACCAGCTTCGACTACTGTGGAGGCCACCACACCAGCTTCGACTACTGGAGAGGCCACCACATTAGCATCGACTACTGCAGAGGCAACTACACCAGCATCGATTAGTGTTGTGTCCACCATCACGCCAACGTCAACTGCCGTTGCTACTACACCAGCACCGATTAGTGTTGTGTCCACCACCACACCCTCGTCAACTGCCGTTGCTACTACAGCAGCCTCGACCAGTGTTGTGGACACTACCTCATCAACGTCAACTACTGTTGCTAGTACCACACAAACATCTTCCGCTGGATTTACTACTGCCGCAGTGGCGTTCACGACCATCCCAACGAGTAGTACTCCTCCCCCTGACCTCATCACTGGTCCGATACCCATTACCACCTCTGGGGTAGAGCCGGCCTTGCGGGGCGGGCAAGTTGTGCCACCAGTGGCTTAAAGGTGGAGCTGCTCGCACTACCTTGTAATGACTTCTTTTGTATGAGTATCTCTAAGTCCAGTGAAGTGATTACATTGATCAATTTTTATAGTTCGATAGGCAATTGATCATCTTCAGCTCGCGTACTCCTGTGCGACGCATTCTCAGTTCAATGTAGCAAAACGAAGGATGTTTGATCTAGGAGATAGTGACATAACGTGGTTTGAGACTCGCGGTGTTGCGTTTGATTTTCACGACCCATCGGGATTGTGCCAATTATGGGTGCATCTCGGGAAGTAGGTTAAATACGGAGAAAAATCGGTTCCAGAATCGCACAGGTCAATGTTTATTGAACGGCTGGAGGGTCGCCTCCTTCAACTCCCTTACTGATTCTCTCTCTCCATTACAGTTTAACCAATGTGGCTCATTTGGTGCCTCCTCGTCATCGCTCCCAACAGTCTATCAGCGGTTCCCGACCACACCCGGCATGCTCACAGAGCCGCTATTCCGACGGGTGATTTCCGTTACGGGATAGGTCCCACTAGGAGAGTCGATAACGATCCGCACCGACCCGAGAAACCTGAGCTTACTCCGCCACAGAGAGTCGCCGGAATCATCAGGATTAACGACACCGACCTCAAGCCGATGCAAGGACCGTTCGCCAAGGTAAGACGTTCGGAAGTGGAGTTTCTTTTGTGGTTTTCAGGTGTCCCCTGAGAGCTCATCTATCCGGGTCGTTCCTATCACTATATTCTGTCTTATCATTCTGTTCATCATTTCTGGCGTTGCGCGGCTCGTAGTTCTGACGAAGCGTAGAAACGCGCAATCGAGAGCTCACGTTGGTGAGCATCTTAGCAAAGACGAGAGCTTCATCGATAGCAGGCATTGTGGCATCGTAAAAGAACATCTTGCCCTATCGTGTCATCGTTGATCCTCAGGAGAATAATGCCGAGGATCTGAAGGCAAACTCCGAATCCAACAGCGCCGCGTCCAGAACGGACGAAGAATCCCCTGCAGCAGTGTCTCCTAGTGTTGATTCACACTAGGTTGACTCGAAGTTGCCCTGTTTAATACTGCTAGCGTATCCTATGTTGCACAATTGACTTTTAATTCATGAGCATGTGCACACTTGGACCATGATGGAATTGTCATCATACCACTTTAATGTCGCTGCCTGTATACCCATTGTGTAGTGCGCCATCATTCCCATCCACTCTCGTCGCGTTGATGGTGTGTAAAATGATGTGACGATTCGTCAGACGGAATCTCCGGAACATTCCCATAGTTATTTAATCGCCTTCGATCGTGAACTCCTCACGGCTCGCTAAGCTGTCCCGGTCTGAATAAGTCTGGGAAAGTTGTAGGATGCCTCCCATAAAGATAAGTTTACTATGTCAGCTGTGGGGTTCGAACCCACGCGGATTTCTCCACCACAACTTGAGTCTGGCGCCTTAGACCACTCGGCCAAACTGACTGATTGCGCAAGCGCTTTGGCTACAGGGTAGTTTCACGACTTCTTAGAATGTACAGGTTTGCAGGTAGAGTTGAGTTGAAAGATGCCTCCCATAAAGATAAGTTTACTATGTCAGCTGTGGGGTTCGAACCCACGCGGATTTCTCCACCAGAACTTGAGTCTGGCGCCTTAGACCACTCGGCCAAACTGACTGATTGCGCAAGCGCTTTGGCTACAGGGTAGTTTCACGACTTCTTAGAATGTACAGGTTCGCAGGTAGAGTTGAGTTGAAATTCCCAATGACGTAGAGGATGGGATGGATAGATGTAGCTGACTGGCCAAGATAACTAGGGCAAAGCAGATTGCGTTGCCCATAGTAGGATTGATGTGGTCCATAGGTCACAGTCTGTGACTCACAGACTGTTTAGAACAGCCTGTCACACAAGTGCAACTCACAACGAGCTGCCAGACAAGTCGAACCACAAGGCGGTGGTCGCTGTGGACGGACCCACAGACTGTGACTCACCACACTCCAGTCAGCGTCATCTATTAGGGTTGAGAATGTTTTACAACGAATACAATCTAAATATCTCAGCGGACTTACCTTGAAAATCGTTGAAGACAAACTCTAACCCTACCTCCACGTCGAGGGATTGGGCTGGGATGGGTATTAAAGTTAGCCAAGGTCTGGTGATCACCAGACAACCAATATCATACTTAAATCATCAGCACCGCTGGAAGAGGTGCACTAGCTTCAAGCTAGTAACTCCAGCTATGCGGAAGATGCCTCAATAGCTTATCACAAATCACACAACTACCCTCTTTTGCGTTGTGCAGGAGTAGGAACTTCCTCTACTACTAGAATTTCACTTTCGTCGATCAGCCGTAGTCGATCACTGCCATGAAAGATGCCTCCCGTAAAGATAAGTTTATTATGTCAGCTGTGGGGTTCGAACCCACGCGGATTTCTCCACCAGAACTTGAGTCTGGCGCCTTAGACCACTCGGCCAAACTGACTGATTGCGCAAATGCTTGGGCTACAGGGCTGTTTCGCAGTTTGTTAAAATGTACCGGTTTGCAGGTCGAGTTGAGTTGAAAGATGCCTCCCATGAAGATAAGTTTACTCTGTCAGCTGTGGGGTTCGAACCCACGAGGATTTCTCCACCAGAACTTGAGTCTGGCGCCTTAGACCACTCGGCCAAACTGACTGATTGCGCAAGTGCTTTGGCTACAGGGTAGTTTCACGACTTCTTAGAATGTACAGGTTCGCAGGTAGAGTTGAGTTGAAAGATGCTCAACTCTGGCTCCAGTGATCCTCAAGTTATACTAACTATTTACACTTAACCAGGGGAGTTTCGATAGAGTTAGTCGACTAAGTGGTGTGGAGAGGACCGAAGACTTGCAGGGCTCCCCCCTGAAGTTTCGGTCACGGGACAGGTCCCCGACTAAGTGGTGTCGTATCAACGACTAACGTCTCACACGGGTCTGTCCCGTCACCCAGTCCACTATAACAAAAAAAACTGTCAATTACTAATCACTCTCTTTCAGAATCTTCTGATTATTGAAGCACCTACGAGCGACCGAGCTCGCTCGCCCGTCGAATCACTTCCTCTGGAGTTGACCCTAGCCTCTGGCGAGACTTTCCACTCCCGTAAAGATAAGTTTACTATGTCAGCTGTGGGGTTCGAACCCACGCGGATTTCTGCACCAGAACTTGAGTCTGGCGCCTTAGACCACTCGGCCAAACTGACTGATTGCGCAAGGGCTTTGGCTACAGGGTAGTTTCACGACTTCTTAGAATGTACAGGTTCGCAGGTAGAGTTGAGTTGAAAGATGCCTCCCATAAAGATAAGTTTACTATGTCAGCTGTGGGGTTCGAACCCACGCGGATTTCTCCACCAGAACTTGAGTCTGGCGCCTTAGACCGCTCGGCCAAACTGACTGATTGCGCAAGTGCTTTGGCTACAGGGTTGTTTCACGACTTATTAAAATGTGCCGGTTCGCCGGTCGAGTTGAGTTGAAAGATGCCTCCCATAAAGACTGGTTGCGCAAGCGCTTTGGCTACAGGGTAGTTTCACGACTTATTGAAATGTGCCGGTTCGCCGGTAGAGTTAAGTTGAAGGATGCCTCCCATGGAGTTAAGTTTACTATGTCAGCTTGGGGTTCGAACCCACGCGGATTTCTCCACCAGAACTTGAGTTTGCCACTGATAGGATAGTCTCACGGCTCAACTGTGAGTCTAGCGAGCGTTGTTTCCCGATTCACCACGTCCGAGATTCATCTTTACCAGGGCCGCCCATTCTTGGAGCGGTGCTATATCAAGATATGGCTAATCTCATCGGAGGCAAACGATTCGTCTCCAATAGTGTGCAACTAGGCATCATCTATCCTTCATTGACCCGATTCCGTCTCCACTCAACCTCCTCTTCCCAATATTTTCCATTTCAATATCTTTCATCACCAATGTACATGTGAAAGAACCACAGACGGTTTAGTCCAATCACGAATAGTAATGTGGTAACCTTTTACAGTCATGCCGAGAGCATGAAGCATCGTCTAACCGACAGAACTCTGTACGCACTGCCGACGGCCCCGGTGACTATCAACTGATATACGTGTACGGCATTAAAGATTCCCAGAATATGTGATCAAGCCGGCCCGATTGAAGTACGTGATACCTAGTACGCGTAACAGAAAAGGACAGTTGGTTGGTATTGCCCAAACTATACATCAACTACACACTAACCAGAAACGAGAAACATACAAACAAACTATTCAAGTTGGTAGAAAACAAAGTTCCTCGGTTCTACCCTACAAGTCTGTTTTCTGTTATATAACTACAACCAAACACAGAGCGTAGCAACTACAGAAACTGTTCAGAGGTATTTGAATAAATAAAAGCTGATAAGATCAGCCCAACGAACACCAGTGGCGTCAACTGAGAAAAGACATAGCGCTCGCCCTGTTGATCGATTCTCTAAGGTCGTCCCCCAGCCTTTTCCTTGAAACTGCTATACAGTGCTTCCTCCAACTTCTTCTTAGCTCCTTCGCATGATGACTTCGTGTCTTCAACTTGGCCCATATCCTCGAAGATCTGACCCATCCTCAATAATGCATACGCCCTTCTCATCCGAATCTACAACAACAAAAAACCATCACTTCCGCACACTCCTACAAATTCACTCACCTGCCACGGGGCTGATATGTCCATCAAAACTCTCTTGCAAATAATCTTCACAGTGTGCTCGATATCAAGAGCGCACATATCCCACGCTGTACGTAGGAACACAGGTAGAGCACTCTCGAACTCCTAAAACACTCAGAACAAATCTGCACCTCCACAAAAGCCACATGCCAACCTCAGATGCCTTCTTGAGATCGTCATCATTCAGCTCGATTGGAGTATCATCCTCGCCAGATTCCCCACGAGCTGAGAGAGAACCACGAGTAGGAATTTCGAAGCGCGCGGTAATTTCCAACCAACACCCACCTTTGCGTTCTTCCTCTCTCTTCTTCATTGCCTGCTTCTGCGCCTCCTCAGTAGCATTCTGCATTCTGTTCAACACCATCCTAAATACCACACCTCGTTGAACTCCACCAACATCCGAGCCACCCTACGCTGCCTTCACCATCGATGATGCTACTGAGTATTTATTCGACATCGTCCTACTCGTTGCCTTCCACGAAGCCGTCTGAAAATACAATTCCACTGAAATTCCGTCCAATTCGTGTACAGTATTCCCACACTGCCCATTATAATCATCAACCGATACAATACAGGAACAATCAAAGGCACGCAAAAGAACTCATCAACACCAACACCCTCCAGCTTACCCTCCTCGACCAGCTCTTCCCACACTCCTCGTTGATGAACTGAGTAGCTCTATTCTGATACATCCACCCCACCGTCCGCAGTAACGGTGCCCCGAATGATGTCTAACACCAACACCATTGACAACCACTACCCCCTACACCCCAACCTACCCCAGCAAGGACTTGGGCTTCCTCCACAGTCTCCTTAATGAACCCTTGCTCATCTCGAGCAATCACATATCGATCCAATCTCGACAACAGCTCCTCCGCGCATTTAATCTAAGAGCCACCGACAAAATGTAAAAAGCGCGCGCCCGATTGATCGATTACCTCTCGTCTATGCTGTTGCCTCTTGGCCCTCCTCTTCTGGTCAGTATCCTTATTCATCTCGCTCTTCAAAAGTCTATTCGCATAATCCTCATCGCTCTCCCCAGGGTTCTGCTTAATATTGCCACTCTTAGCCGCTTTGTCCACCTCCTGCAACATGGCATCCGCTTGGCTTGCCAACTCCAGATGACCAATAAAAGGCAAAAACTTCTCAGACCCTAACCAGACAAAAACACCATTCCTGCTAGCTTCGCTCCGCTAGGATATCCCCACCGAATAACACTGCAAAGAACAGCTTAGGATCGAGTGTCGCGACCGATTCCTGCACGCCCTCCAAACCTTGGGTATCATACTTCTTCCTCAACTCAGGATCGGACAAGCACTAACATACAACAGAGACGACGATAACCTCTCATCGATTACAATGGCGAGCGCTTTTTACAACGATGATTTGGTAGAAGTTGAAATTTTATTATTTTCGCATTAAAATAATCATAACTTCACTGTCGATAACTCACATCGTACTCTTGGAACTAGGGGAAGTAATAACACAGTAAGTTCCCACAATTACACAATTCTGCATTGATTTTTTTCTGGCCTCTCCAGTACAAGTCATACCACATACCATCCCTCCGCAACTTCTCACCTGATAAGCCTGGGATAACTCCTGGAACTTCTTATGGGCTTCAGGGTCATTAGGATTCTTATCGGGATGCACCACCATCGCCTTCTTATAATACGCCTTCTTAATCTCCCCCTTGCTAGCGTTGGTCTTCACTCCAAGAATGTCGTAAAACCTGCAATGACAATAACAACGACAACAGTAAATCAATTCTCGCACATGTCGAATTGACACACACAGCAAGGACATTTTACAGCAAGAAATGTAATATAATCACTCTCATAGATAGCATTATAAAAATCAATAGAGTAGATCAACTCCTACAATACGCCTAAACGTGTTTCTGCTCTCGAAATACATATTCATTATCTCAATAACGATAGCCACCACTACTATGGAGTTTATAGTAACTATCCCATCCACGAAATAAAATGGTCACCAAAATCAATTAAAGTAACTCATTGATGCAACTAGTGATAACACACGATCAATGTTAAACGGGCGTTCCCGATCCGGACATGAAATGAATCTTTTCCCATCGACCTACTTAGTATCCACAACTTCGTGATTGCTGTGGCTATCTCCATCATACTCTACGTCCGAGTCAGGGTCCTCAGGATTGGCATGCACTTCATTAATCAACTCTCGTAGATTCACGGTCTCGTCCACCCAAGCACCGAGCTCATCATCCCACTTCATATACCTGAGATGTGGCACAAATTGGGCCTATTTTGAATCTTTCACGCTCAACCTAAGATACCCACTTCTTGTTTCCCGCACGGATCGCCTCCGGAGTGTTGTAAATTCCACGACCAACTTGAACCGCTCCAGCCGCTACACCACCAATGGTCAATCCCGCAAAACCAACCACACCTAAAACAATACCCGATTCGGACCTATTCCGTATCTTCCACTCTCAACCTCAAGATACCACCTTTAGCCAGCCCAGTGAAGAAGCCTCCAACACCCTTCTCCTTAGCACCAACCGTCGGAGCCGCAACAAGCGTCGCCGCACCCGCGAGGATTCCTCCTCCAGCAGCTTTCAAACCCGAACCCACACCTAAACCCTCCACACCTAATCCCGCACAGGTTCAATCCCCGGCACTACCACTAACGGCATTTTTCGGTCTCGTCGAATTCATGAGATCAGTATAACCATCATTTGCCGAATACTGCTCATCTATAGCGGCCAAAGACTTATTCAATGGCTTCTTCTTTCCTCCCTGACTAGCTTGCACAGCTTGCTCCCTTTCCGCCTCCATTTTTCGCATGAGCGTATCATCACGTAGCTGAATATCAAACAATTGTCCACAACTAACAGCAAAAAATGAGAATATTTTCCACGGCACTTATAATACCACAAAAGATATAGAATTTACGGTATTAAAAAAGCGACAGCGAACAACATAGAAATTCTGTGAAAACAAGTGGAATTTATAACAATTTCGATGAATATACGAAATCGAAAAATTCAAATTGTGAAGAGTAAGAAAAAAAATTCGAATAGAAAATACTAATAAGAAAAGGGAAAAATACACAAATTCGAAATAGTGTGTAAAAGAGACAATCTTCCTGCTACCATAATTTCCGTACCAAAACAAAACAAGACACTCAAACAGCCACCAACAATAACAACAATTTACATAATTTCATGGCGCGCGACATTTTCCCCCACACTTACCACTAGTGCTTCCGTCTCAATTTTCTTATCCTTCTTCTCCTCATCCTCCTCAACTGCTACTACTGCCGGCGCTGCTGGGGTCTCAGGAGTAGAGGGTAACGATTGAGTCGATGGTGGGGGGAAGGCCGTCGGATCGTACACCGCTAACTCCGAGAAAACTTCCAGACGGATGTGATTCACATCTCCCAGGCTCTAAAAACCAATCCTCAAAATCGATCACGTGATCGATTATAGCATATTACCTCGATACTCCATCGGCAACCCGGCACTTTAGCATCACTCAATTGCATCCCACCACCGAGGGTCTTCAAACCTGAAATAAACTCTCACTAAAATTTTTCCATAAATCCACGAAAAATTCAAAACCTTCATTACTTTCAGCGACTTCAACGAGGGTCGGCCTTTCCCCCGGTTCCCCATAACGAGCCATGGACACAGCCGTCATAGTACTATCATGATCAGCAGAATTAATACGACGAGTTGAATCATCCGCTTCGCTCCGCTCAAAAACGATGTCATTTTTCTTCGATTTCGACTTCTTCGACTTGAAAGCCTTTGGCTTATGCCAATGCCTTTTATGACTTTTCTTCTCCTTTTTTCTTTCCTCTTCAGCGCCTAGAGGAAAATAAATTTATTTTCATTCCAATTTTTCGGCAAAGGAGTGGTACCAAGGGGAGGAGGCCGACCCAACGATTTTACCCACGCCCGAGAACGATTTTCCCATATTCACCCCGTACCACTCCTTCGCCAATTCAGCCTTCTTACTTTGAGTAGCATTATCCCACTCGGACTTCAAGTCGTACGCTGGTGCTCCTGCCCACGCCTCGAATATGCCTTCACCCGCCAGAGGATTGGAAAATATGAAACTAAAATGCAACATGCAAGAATTGAACCAAGGACCTTCTCCAAGACAACCCTACACCATACCCACCTTAGGTATTTATCCTGACTTTCTTCGCTAACAAGCCAAGCCAGTCCCGACACCCCGCTGACAGTATCCCCCATATTGTTGAACTCGATAGTAGTCTCAGCATGTGCAGCAATATGCTAAAAATACAACAAAAATATCCAAAATCCTAGCGGAGCGAAGCAAGCCTCCTTTTACCTTGCACCTATTCCCAGGAGCCCAATTGCCACTATCAAACCACTCCCCGTCGGCAGCAAAGGTCTCGTCCGATCTGAATTGAAAGCCACCTTCCCTACAGTTGCCCATGAACAGCAGCTAACACGATGTTTCCACCACAACACATACAAAGCGTCGTACAATAATTCAACCACGTCTAGTGGTACCAACACTATGAAATCACCAAGACAGATATATAAATGTAAATTGATACTAAAAATTGCCAAATTTGTGAAGCTGAAATTCTACTATGGAGTGATATGCAATTACGTTCAGCTATACCACTATACGTTACTTGATCAAGACGT